GAGTTAAGAAGTTTTATGGAACTCTGTACCTATTGCCGGAAGTTTGTGACGAACTTTGCAGCTATAGCCACTCCACTACATGATTTGACCAAAAAAGGCCAGAAGTTCGAATGGACAGTTTCTTGCCAGCTTGCTTTCACGACATTGAAAGAGAAATTGGCATCAGCTCCACTTCCAAATCCTTCACTGCTGTAGATACTGGATTGTGGTGCTAGTAATGTCGGAATTGGAGGAGTGTTGTCTCAGAAAGTGGGTGAAAACGAACATGTGGGGGCCTACTTCAGTACAGTCCTGAGTAGACCAGAGAGAAACTACTGTGTAACACGAAGGGAACCCCTTGCTATAGTAAAGAGTCTGACATATTTCCATCCTTACCTATATGGGGCTAGGTTTATCAGGACAGACCATGTTGCATTACGCTGGTTAAGATCATTAAAGAACCCAGAGGGACAACTGGCACGTTGGATCGGAAAAATAGACCAGTACAATTATGATATTAATATAAAGAAGGAAAATCTCATGGAAATGCTGATGGACTGAGCCGAAGACCCTGCAAAAATGACTGCAGACATTGCTGCAAAAAAGAGGTTGAACTAACCATGTGCCATAAAGCTGCAATCAAAATGACTGAAGGAGTCGATGATAGTGAAGTGGAACCAGGTATAGATATTAAAGCAGAGCAGGAGAAAGACCAAGATTTGAATCCAATAATTGATTTTCTACAAGCAGGTGTGTTGCGCCCTGCTTGGGAGAAGGTGTCTAGCTTAAGCCCTGTGACAAAAACCTATTTGGTACAATGGGAGGAGTTGAAGCTTGAAGATGGTATTTTTGTCCGGAGATGAGAAAGTTACGACTTGGCAAATAGTTATACAGAGAAGGTTACGCGAAGTTGTGCTGCATCAATCCCATGATAGTTCACCAGGAGGACATCTTGGAGTTAATAAGGCACTGAGTCACCTACGGCAGAGATTTTACTGGATAGGTATGAGGCAAGATGTGGAAGAATGGTGCAGGACCTATAGTACATTTTGTGTTAAAAGGGGACCCAAGCATAAGGGATATGCTACAATGAAGTTATATCAAGTTGGTGCACCAATGGAAAGAGTAGCCATTGACATTGCTGGTCCTTTGCCTCAAACACGTGCTGGAAACAAGTACATCTGTGTGGTGATGGATTATTTCACCAAGTGGCCTGAGGCATATGCAATACCAAATCAGGAAGCTACAATTGTAGCTTCGGCTATTAGTGATTTTTTCTTCAGGTTTGGTATGCTACACGAACTGCATTCAGATCAAGGCCATAACTTTGAATCAGCTGTGTTCCATGAATGCTGCAAGTTGTTTGGCTTACGAAAGACCAGGACAACGCCACTTCACCCACAGTCCTATGGGATGGTAGAAAAGTACAATTGGACACTGGGAC